AGGCTAATTCTCAGGTTCATATCAGTATGTAGTGTCTCTACTGGGACATGTCTCCACCCTTTTAATGTTCAAAAAGCTCTTTATTTTTCTCATATTGCCTGTGCTGCAGCACCTCTTTTCACCCTCTGTCTGAAACCAGAACCCAGTCTGCTCTGATTGGTTAGCTGGCCGGCTCTGTTGTGATTGGTCAGCGACACAATCATTCATATTTTCTATGGTGTGGCATCTATTACATGTCTGTGCGTCTTGAGAGGGGGATTCCACCTCTGTTTCTTCCATTGTTTTTCCCCATTAACTGTCTTTTTTGGGGGATTTTACCTTGTTACTCCAATGATCTAAGGACAGAGGGTGCCGTAACTAGGGATGGGTATCGTTTGAAATGTACCCGTTTCGATTCCAAAATTGTAAAAGAAAGAGGTCAAACGTTTAGATAACAAAAATATCTTTATTCTTTTAAGCTTTAACTGACATTTTTACAAATAAAAAATATACATGCAATACAAATGTATTGCACAATAGCTGTGCTTTATTTTAACTGAGCTATGCCTGTGGCAAGCTATTAACAGGCATTACACTGTGCCTTGTCTTTTTCTTTTTTAGTGTAGTGGAGCCTCACTTTAGAGCGTTTACCGCGATCCATCTTTGGTGTTATGAAGTGACTGAGCTCGTGAACTGTCTACGGGAGGGCGGGGGAGCCTCGCTGCGGGGCAACTGTAGACCTCTGTCGCCTGTCAGCGCAACTTACATGATGCCGTTTAAAAGAATTAAGGGCGGTGCCGGCCGTCAACGGCCCGCTGATGACCGGCCGTTCTGTGATTCTCCAGAACACACAGATGGCCAGTCCGCCCTTACCCTGTATTCCACCGGGTCGCCGCGGCGCAGACGGACCCGGTGGAATGCAGGGTCTACCGCGTTTAGGAACCGTTAAGCAGAACCGAAATTGTGTATTTTGTATGGGTACTCTCATCTGGAACCGAGTTTCGGTTCCCAACCCTAGTCGTAACTGTCGTATGCTGTAAACACTGAAAAGCCCCCTGAGACAAATGTAGAATTTGTGGAATTGGGCTATATAAATTCAATTGAATTTGACTGTCAACACTTCTCTTTATCTCAAATAAAGTAATTCCATGTTTTGAACAAATCTGTTTATGTCCCAATCCTGCACCTCTTCATGGACCTTCCTTTTTATGGTACTGTTACAGAGCAGCGAGGCGTTATGTAGTCCCGGTCTTTCCCCTCAGCCGGTATTTCGGCCTTGGCTTGTTTCCAAGACCGTTGAGGGCCACAATGCAGTCTTTGATCTTGAGATCTCTCCTTAGTTTCTCTGCAGTTCTTGGATAACATCATGTCAGATTAGTGTCATCTCAAATAAGCCCTGAAGGGGAACGGTAAGAAAGTAGATCTGACGAATGATCTTTTTTGTTAAATATTTTACTGGCCATTTATTCAATGCACCAAGTTCCTCTGACACTTATCCTAAAAGGTATCTTAGTTCTGACTTGTGTTGCATGAAATTCAAAACCAAATATGTGTATTATATCTTTTAATCTCTTATTTTTTTGGTATGTGTCCTTCCCTTCACACTTGCACCCCCATAGAGCCCCATTGTACTGCACTAGTTACCTGTTAAAGACTGGTGACAGTCTACTTTGATGAAAAGATAACAGTCTTTGTTGCATACAAATGACATTTTTAGGTGATTGGCCTCCTTACTTTTGTGGGAGAAACTTCCTCAGGGATTGTAGCCTCTTTTTTTTTAGCCTCTGCAGACCATTTACATACAAATACATATATAACACACTATAGGAAAGGGAAAAAGCATACTAGGGCCGCTTTTAAGTGATATTCAACAACTATTAAATCATGCCAACATAACATTTCACACTATAAATATGTGTTTAAGTGGCTCTTATAAAGGCAATTAAGTCGTAAAGATGGTAGGAATCCATTTCTATCTTTAAGTGGACGTGCCCACATCACAGCTCTTTGTTTGCGTGTGTTTACGTCTGTGGTGCTTTAACCTGTTTACTATGCCACTGTCTGCTATCATAAGTTTGGCACTGTGACATTTAGCTGTGAGCTATTTTGAACTCGGCTCCAAAGATTGACACACTAACACACACTAACACACACACACACGACATTTTACGCAGTCTTTGATGTGGCATGCCCAGCCCAGTCCAGCAGACACACACCAGGCTATATGAAGGGGATATAGGAAACCAACACACAGACGCACGTATATCAACACCAACATTACACGCTTCTTCAAAATCTAAACTGAGGACAGTCTGCAGTCTGGAGTCCTCATGTTTTATTGTTGTTTGTCTGCATGGGGAAAGGCTTCATATATACATTTCTGTACATTTCTGCGGATGTTAAAATGCCCAAAAGTATTTTTGGGCATTTGAAATGAACAATATGGGGTTGGTTGTAAAAGACAAGATCCTAAGGCAGTATGTGTTTGCATTGCTTTGTTGACAGATGCAGATCTCGTGAATGTTGGCCACTTCCTGCATTTCTCTGTCAGATAAGAGCTTTACAGCTTCGCTTTGATTTCCAGAAGCTCTTTTCTGGATCTGCCTAGAAAGGAAAAGTACAACAGCAAACCTCTATAAATTAACGGCGTAAGAGGGATGAGTGTGTTTGTGTTTTAAATAAAGATCTTCTCACTGAGCTTCATCAGCTGGACTCCACAGGGTCTCTGTGTCTAGGGTTACAAAAAGAGACACGCTGTCACAAACATGACATGTGTCACTGCAGTCTGACAGTGTGTGTGTGTGTGTGTGTGTGTAGCTGACAGGAAACAACAGGCAGGAATACTAATGCAACCATTTCAATCCTCTCTAATGCTCAATGCTGTTCAATCCCCTCATTTCGGATCTGTTTCTCAACTTTAATTTCAGTCTTAAAGGGCCCATGTCATGCTTTTCCGGTTATTACCCGTCCCCTTGTGTGTTATGAAGGTTTTTATGCATGTAAACGGCCCAAATGGACCAATCCGCGGAGCACCTCACGCACCAGGATCCCTTGGCTAACTAACAGGGAGTCCCCATTGACTTGCATAGAGCTCCCTGAACGCTGGTAATAGACGAGTTGGGATGGCGGAGAAATGCTCTCCGCAGACCCATTCTCACAGCGTTAGAAACCTTTTTCTTACTCAATATCAAGCCACACTTTTTTTACTTCGGATGTGAGTGTTTGTGTGTGCTCAGGATGAGTTTAGCTTGTTCTCGCTGTATCGCCGATCCGGAAACCTGTCTGCTCCTCACAGCAGCGGCGAGCAGCAACGAGCTTCGCAACTTCCCGACCAATCAGAGCACACTGGGCTCACAGGGAGGGGGGGGGGGGGGGCAGGAGCTCCAACAAGCCGTTTAGGACAGAGAGTGAATACACATACTTTACAGAGATGCTGTATGAGAAACCAATGTGAGTTTTGGAAAATTGCACAATATAAATCTATTCTAGTAGACCTCAACAATGGAATTATGATCAGTAGAAATGGCCATGACATGGGACCTTTAATTCTTTCTATGTAGTTTTTTAACATACATATAATATAAAAAACTGAGGCATTTACCAATGTCAAATAATTTCCGATGTTTAAAAATGTTTAGAGGAACTTTTTGCACTGGATTTCTGGAAAAACTTGAGTTATCGTTGAGGATCGTTTTACATCCACTGTCCTTAAACATATGTGACCAACTTTCAGTAAGTAGTCTCAACCATAGGCTTTTTAACTTGTGATATAAATCAGAGATTATTAAAATATACCTAGTTATGAAAAGAAACATGATAGACTGTTTTGTGCTATCCTTAATAACATAATATTAGATTTATCTTTCTTTCTTTACCTCTGGTTATCCGTCTTTTTGCTTTTCAAATGTCTCCATATTTCTCTGTGAGGCCTTTTTATCTAGCGTAATTTACGAGTTTTCCTCAACCACTGTTATTATCCCTCTATAATGTGTCTGGTGAACTTTGCAGTGAACTTCATGTGTTGCCATGGACTGGAAACTGTAACGGTGCAATAAGGCTGTAACCCTCAGGACTGCTGAGTGCAAATGAACCCGAGCAGTCACGCCTCCTCATAACTCGCTCAGAAATCACAGTACTTACACATTTTACACATGCACACTTTCCCGCACAATGCAATAAAACCAGTCATATCTTATATTCTTGTCATGTGTTTTGCCTTCAAAGACACTCACGCTAATATCCCCCTCTTTACCTTCCCTTGATCTCCTCTCTTCTGCTTATCTATCCGTGACCTTTGCGTGTCTTTTTCATGTCAAAACATTCGTCAAATATCAGATTTAATTATACAGTAACTACAGCTGGGATTCCCCTCCAGCGCTCATGATGTTTTTGTTGAAGAGCTTACAATGACAAAGTGAATGTCACGCTTAAGTGCTGTTTTTTGAAATGTTTATGGATGGAGGATTTTAAGCTTTTACTCGTACCTTAATTTTGTTCTTGTCAGCGCTATCTGTCAAACCGTTCTACCATCCTATAATCAGTTCTCACGAAAATGTACTTCTTATTCTAAATATCTTGTTATCGTGATGTACGTTATATCTGTTTAGATGAGTGCAATTCGAACGCGATTTGCATTGGATTTGCTTTGATCCGAGTAGAAAATATTGCGCTTAAATATGTACTATAAAGTCTTTAAAGACATGTAGGTAGTTTTGGGCCGGAGTCAGGTTGTTCTTCCATCATAGCGGCACGTTTTCACAACAGCTTGGTCGGCAGTAGTGGTTGTCGGGTTCTTACATAGTTCACAAGCCATTATTGTTAAACAAATGAAGTTATGAATCCCAGGAAAGCAAATAATGTCCAGTAGTAGCTGAAAAAGCCGTATCTAAAGATATGTTATGCCATCCGATGAGCGTGGTTTCCCCTCGCATGCTAAACCGGAAGTCTTGCATTTGATTTCCAACCAATTTCGGTCCGTGACTATTTCTTAATATCTCTTCCTTTCTCCCTGTGTTTTCCAGGATGTGAGTTACTGGCTGCAGGTGCACAGATTGGAGCACAGTGACGGCGGCATCCTCGACCTCGACGATGTTCTCTGTGACGTGGTGGACGACAAAGACAGGGTGAGTGACACTTTGATTAGTAGAAGAAAGGGGAAAGCTCTGAAGAAGCAAAACAGAAGCTTTGAAGTATTTGCTTTCGTTGTCTGCTGCTTAAGAGCTTGAGTTAGACTTTTGATGGACCCACCAATATGTATTTCTTTCTTAATTGGCACATTTGGAAAGTTGCATGTTTTCCTGCTGGCACTTCTGAATGCTGGGTCTCAGGAATGAGGGTTTGTGTTTTGCTAAAGAAAATACATACAGTGCATTGTGACACGTAAAATGAAGTAGGCATTGTTCTGTGTATGCTGTTTTTGCAGGTTTTGGAAAATACAGTAGGGTTGCAACTGTATTTTCTGTTGCTATCCAAGGCAGAGGAAGTGCTTCCTGTCTGATCGGATAAGATCATTTCTTGTGTACCAGAGCATTTCTCTATCAGTCTCCCAGCTTTCCTTAGCCTTGAATATCTGAACAACATTAGTCGATCTATGCGAGTTGCTTATTTCAGACTTTTAGATGTTCCTGAGGTCTAGAAGTTAAAGGTGACCTATTATGCAAAACCCTCTTCTTCATGTCTCTTCTACATCAACATGTGTCTCCTCTGTGTGAAGAGATTCTGAAAGTTTCAGGAATAAAGATTCTCTCTCTTTTTGTCCTGATCCATTTATATAAAAACCTGTCTGAAAATGAGCTGATCAGATTTTGGCCACTTTGTGATGTCATAACGATTTTTTGGCTTGTGTAACCATTAGCCAATCAGCAACCAAGGTAACCCCCCCACCTTATCACCTGCATCTCGTCCTAGAGCACCATTGTGTTCTTGATCTGTTTGGTGTTTGGAGCCAAACACTTCAGAGACATGTTCTGTATATATCTGAGACCTGTAATATATTGATGAAAAACAGTATACTAGGGGACCTTTAAGTCTTGCTTTGCATGTGGAGTTATGTTCACTGCAATGTCTTCAGGCCTTGACCCTGTCAGAGTCGGGTCCTGAAATCTCACTTCCTCACGACCTGGTTCTTCCATGGCCTCCGGTGCAGTTTGAGAGAGAGAAGCTCATGCTGACTGACAGCAGGGGGTCACAGGGTCACATTCTCCACCGTGGGACTATATTTCAGTAGATTCCCTTTAGACTGAAGACTGGAGGTTTTTAAGTATGTACTCCATCAAGAAAGACTTTCATTGTTATTTAGGTTACTGTGTCTTAACTGAAGGATACTGTTTGGATATGGAGGCAGGTAATTGCTTGTAGGATGTAGGAGCTAATTTGTGGTGCTTCTTTGTGAGGCATTTGTCTTGAGACCTGCAGCTCCATCATTGTCCATGTCGATCAGGACAAGATGATATCCATCTTTGGTGCCATTTTTCCCCAAATGAAGTGGTTCCATCTTTCATCTACAGTCTTCTCAACCAGTTTGTTTGTTTGTTTGTTCACCATGTAAAGCGGCCTTGGGTCCTTTGAAAGGCGCTATACAAATATAATCTATTATTATTATTATTATTATTATTATTATTATTATTATTATTATTATTATTATTATTCTTAGACAGTTTATAGACCGAAGGATTACTCAAAAAAGTGATTAATCAATAATGAAAGCCATCCTTAGCTTCAGTCCTAGTGTAAGAATGTAGGGTTGTCAATAATTCTACGTTCAGCGTTTAACTGACAACAACATCATTGACCAATAAGTGTTATTTGTTAAACAGCTCAAGAGACAAGAATTGCAAGACTCAGGGGACCAACTTGTCATTTGTCAACTTGTCTTGCAGAAGGACAAAAGCAGGTTATCCCTAAAGGTGGAACCAACTTTCAGGAGCTTGAGCAGAAGTTGTCACAAGACCTAGGGCTTAGAGAGGGGGACTTGAAAATACAAATAAACTGTATTCTTACTACTAACTGAACATCAGACCGACAGCGGGCCACCGGGCTTGGGAAACGTGATTGCCTGATGATATCAAACGTGATCGGACGATGATTCTCTGTAATCTCTTCTATTGAGTTGCAGAAAGTTCTGCAGCTGGACAGAAATCTTTCTTTCAGGGTGCAAGTAGTTTCAAAGATTTCCCCGTCATATGCACAAAGCTACAGTGTAGTTGTTGGCATTGTTAAGTGAATTCAATCTGAAGTCCCACGAACCGCCAACAGTGCATTATACTTGAGACATAAAGAAACAATGAAGACAAATAGTGCCTAATGATGCCAACAAATGCAGGAATACATTTTCAGAAATGAGTTTTGAAAGAATTTCAAGCCATTTAATGTGCAATATAACTCATGCAAACTGTAGTTTTAAGAAAGGTCAAATATTTATAGTTCAAGTGTGTTAGACATTTTTCAGCTTAAAGGATTTTTTCGCTGTTGGTGGCCAGCGCTCTGTGTTGCAACTCCATCCACCGCCTGTCTATAGTCCTCCAGGTGTGACTGTAAATGTGTGCGTGTAGATTTGTTCCCTCTCAACAAGCTGTCATCGTGCTATCTCTTCACATCCATCTCCCTTTCTGTACCCCTCACTGCTCCGTCCCTACAGGCGTTTTCCGTGTGTGTCATACATGACATGAAACCCCTTCAGCCTCTCTCACACGAATCGGCTCGCTGCTTTAACACCAATCCCTTCGGGGATCTGTGTATGATTTAAGTAAAGACATTTTCTTTATTAAGTAATTTTTTTGTTTTGTGGTCAATCAATCATTTTGTTAAAAAGTGTTCATCCAAGAACTCAAGGTGACGTCTTTGCATTTCTTTCTCTGCCTGACAACAGTCAAGAATTTCTGAGCTATCCCGTGCAGAAATGATTTAAGACACACACAGACTGTTTTACTACCCCCCCCCCAGACACAGTTTGAGACATACATATACGTTTAAAGCACCAACGTGTGACATATTTCTGTTCACTAACAGCACTGACTATTTAAAGATTATGACATATACTTCTTCCCCCTCAATATGTAAATTGTGCGTACCTTAACCTGTTAAGCCCCAAAGCCCCCGTCGGCGGGTCTTTTTATTTTATTTTTTATTTTTTTATTAATTGTTTTTATTAAATTTTGTTTTCTTTGGATGGAATGAATACCTATGGTGATAATTCAATGTAATACATCATTTTTATAGTCTGGTACCTGAAAAAGGTCAAATGGCACTGATGGAACCAGATGTACCCAAATGTGCCGAAAGCTTATTCCGCCTGGAACTTTATTTGGCTAAACCTCTCTAAAAAGGTCAAATATCACTTGTTTTGCCTCAATCTTGATACAGGGTACTTATTATATGTTATAGTTTGGATTCCTAAAGCTTTTAGTCTACCATCCCATCATTCAAGGGTGGTTTTCACTATAAGTAATGTTTTTTCTTTAGGCGGAGGTAAGAATTTACCTTTTTTTACTATGTTCCATCTGAATTTACTCTGACTGAGAAACATCTATATTGATTCCGACACTTCTACATCCAACTCACAGATGTAACCTTGCTTTGATAAAAGAAATTATTCATATAACCCTTTTAGAAGTGAAGTTGTAGTCATTTGTTTTGGGCATGTCATTTTCGAGCCTGAAACCTGAAAAACAGGCTCGGGGCTTAACAGGTTAAGAGGTTGAACACTCCCTAAAATCCTGCAAATTGAAGCTCAAATATCTAATTAAAGTTATATAATAAGTCAAGAAAGATTTAAAGTAAAGAAAATAAAAATAAAACTGTTATTAAGGAAATGAGTTAGTTTAATGAAAGTCTATATAAAGACATGGACACATGCCATCGATGCAATCATGAATAACTGAAGGCCTTAATAATAAAACACTCATGAGTTGGATTAGTGAAAATGTCCCACACGTTGTCTCATGTCGTTTTATTTAATTTCAATAACGTGTTTCCGTCTTACTGACCATCTTCATTTAATCTGAGTACCAAAATAAATGGGGTTAATTTGTTGAAGAAACAACACGAGGAAATACAAACGGATATTCACGGTATCAAATGTGAAACTAGTCAAGAAAACACGTGTTAATGAGCACCAAGTGATGCATGAGCAGGAGCTGCTTCCACTTATGCACTTGTCACACATCCAGAGATATTATTTCAGTGTTTTCACTCAGTTAGGACAGGAAACATCTGCCCGCTGAAGACACACAGGACAACACATTAACCGTAAAGTGTCTTGGAGGACCTCTTAACAATTACGTCTTGCCTTTTATTCATTGATTAAAATCTAATCTTTATCCTTTTATCTTTGCACACATATTGTGGATCTGAAGTGTTCTCTGAGGCAGAAATGGTGGTGTGGTTGTAATTAAGATGGAGTGGTTATGTTATCTGCAGGTATTCAGGTAATGTATAGCATGCTGAAGCTCTGCCAAACAAAGGTTGTGAGGAATGCAACGCAGAGCAAAGGGTTTATCAGCTGCTCTATATATGTATTCTAAACATAGCGGTTCAACCCCTGACACTTTTAGATGATCCTGATGAATGCTGGCTTCAAAAGCGGACTTATCATAGACTTTGTCGCCTCATTGTCACAATGTTTTGATCTTGCAAGGTCACCGTTTCTCTATCACAAGATTTAAAGAATGCTCATTTGGCTGGAGGTCAAGAGGTTTGACTAAAGTGCTGGACACTCTGCAAAAACTAAACTAAGGCTGCTTTTACACGGGAACGTTTGCGTTTATGCACAGTATGCGCTTTCAAAAAAGTATTCCGTTCACATGCATTCGTTTCATTTAACGTGTCTGTTCAAACGAGACCGCTGGAAACGCTGTAGTACATATGCCGGGACTGTAAGTGGCGCTGTAACTTCCACACGAGACCGCTCAAAAGCTATGGACACGCTGTAGTACATATGCCGGGCCTGTAACTGGCGCTGTAACTTCCGCCACAAAATACACCAAAAGCAGCGAAGAAGACCCCGGAGCAGCCCGGAGCAATGTTGCCATGGCTACCCTTCTGTTTATGCCCCGCGGTGGATTTAGCAACATGTAGTAGTTCATGTAATTCTCCATGTCCACTTGTTGCTGATGGTTGTGGTAGA